TACCCTAGCCCTGTGAATTGAGCACAAAGTTTTTTACTGTTACAAATAAGCTTTCTTTTTTCATTTTCACAGTCTTAAGTTGCTTCACATTTTATTAAAATCAGTAAGTGATAAAGCATTATTCTACTGGAGAGATAAATGAACACTCAAGAGTTAGCTCTCTAGTTGTTGTTCCCCCCTTTGTATGGGACAATCTCTCTGTTTAAAACGCAAGATTCTGGGGGAGAGAACAATGAATTATAAGGATCAAGTCACAATTTCTTTTGTAAGGGAAGCTTATTGCTGCTTCATTTTTGTTTCAATTTTCATCTATTTTCACTCAAACTATTCAGAGTCCAAGTTCACAATGATAACTTTTTACCACTCCTTTACTGATTCATCATGTAAATGAGCTCTTAGCTATGCTTTAAAAATAACTCAAACAATTAACAGCCTTCATATTCACAGCTTCTAAGTTCTCCAACCTGTTGAGCTAGAATCACTACAAATTTAATGTCTAATTTCTCTGTGTTTTTGTAGGGGTAGGGAGGGAAGTTAGTGCAGAAGGCCTATGTCTGTCTGGATGAGACTCTCCCAATCCGACAAAGACTAGAGCTTGCTTTTAGAGGTAGAATTTTTGCTTTAATCATTTTATTTAATAGTTATTTAAATTTAATCTATACTGGCAAAAATGCTGTGCAGGTTGACTATCCTACTTATCTCCCTGGATAAACAGCCCTTCGTAAGCGCTATTATTTCATCTGCATACATAATTCTTTCTTTACACAGTTCCTTAAAACACTTTGTGCAGTTTTGCCTATTTACAGGTAGCATTCAAATTATTCACAGAAGACAGATTTTCATACCATTCAGAGATACCTAACACAACAATAATTTTCATTATAAAACTTAATCTTTCTCTCAGCCTACAAATGTCCTCAGTATCTCACGAGCCTAACTGAATACCTGCTCTGCACACTAAACATGCCTTGCAGATTTTATTCAGTAGGTAAGGAGCACAAAAGATTGGATTCACTTTATTGGCTTTCAGAGAAGGCAAATCCAGACGGAAGCAACAGACCTAGCAAAGCGTGAAGAAAACAGCTAGAATTAGCAGCAGAAATGGGTCCAGTCAGAGGTCCAAGGTGCCTTTTCAGACTTCTCTACCAGAGAGGATACTTAGACCCTGACCCTGGGACACCTTTTACCTTGGACTCCATTTGCACCAGAGCTTTGCAACTCAGTAATATTTTTCGGTGTCCCGTTTTCCACCTACGCTAAACACAAACGTTGCATGTGAAAGGCAGTGCACTGGAGAGCGCTACAAGTTGTGACGCTCCGGCTGTCCAGTGATCGTGTTCAGGAGACAGGTGGTGAGTCTGTCTTGTATAACTGTTTGCCTCAACCCCTCTTAAGATAAAGTTGAATCAAGCAGCCTTCCTGCGTTGAAAAACAAGTTTAATAAACATGTGAGAGTTCTTGTGTGTTTGTGCACCTGCTCAGCAGCCCCCTGTGGGGATTTTGCTATCTATCCCCAAGCTTGCAGAGATAAGCATGTAGCAGCCTGGAACAAGCATGAAAAGGGGCACAAGTAAAACATTACAAGGTCTTTTGCAAGGTAATAGCCATTTTTTTTGGTCTTCTAATCTGTGTGTAATAAATAAATAGTCTCTTGCTGGTATTCCGTTGAGAAAGAATAACCAATACTACTCTGGTTTTGTATGATGCTGTTCTCTAAAACCTTCACTGCATTTTACATGTGGACATACAAGTCAGTCAGCTCTTTTGGGATCCCCCAAGTTAAAAGCATTACAGCTTGCTCATTAGTTCCAAAGAGGATTCCAAGTTTTAGAAAATCAGAATGTGCAATTCTCAAGTGAAGTCATTGTTTTAAAATTTATTTAACCCCGGAAAGCATTCATAAGGGACCAGATGGTGTAACCACACATAATTATTCGTTTATGTTTTTGCTATTTTATGCCATCAATAGCCATGAATTTTATTCTGTGGATAAAAAGAATTGATTTTCAATCAACACAAAACCAGGAAAGGTTGATTATTGCGGGATCTTTCATTTTGACCTAACATTGTTAATTTATCACAATTAATTTCAGGCACTTCCTACCTCCTAACCTGCGGAAGCCTTTCCGAGAACGCAGGACTTGAAAGAGGGGATCGGACATTTGAACCCTGCTGACTTGAGGGAGCGAAGAATGCTGTAATGGCTCAACCTGTTTGCAAAAAGCATCTTCAGTGTCAGGACATCCATCACGACTAAAGCAGTTTAGTGAAACGGAGGTGGTGTTGGTCAAAGATGCTAAACTTTAAGCCCTTAAGCCCCAAAGCCTGCATTCGTCAGCAGAGCAAGCACAACAGATCCCCGCTGTCTCACCTCAGCTCCGGTTTGAGGGGGACAGTTGTAAAGATAAGAGGGGAGGTCATGCACTGTGGCCACAATTAAAAACACTTTAAAAAATGTTAACGAGGAACAGCTTTTCAGAAGTATTCAGTACCAGCAGGAGCAGAATCATGTCTAACCGAAGGTCATAAGATCTTAGCTATCATTGAAGTACCTGAAAGTCGAGGACTTCCTATGATCACACTAGTGTGCCACCTCAAGCTCTGGCTACCTCAATACCTTGAATGATTCATCTCCATGTGCCTTTATGAGCGCTTCTTTATGCAAAACTATAATAGGTGCTGAGCATTAATCAGACAGTGCTGTGTTTTAGGCCGTAACTGCACTGTTTGAACCGCTGACCTTGAGAGAAAAGGTTTTATATACCATTCCCAATCCCTTAAGTCTTCCTGTCACTAAAAAGCAAATACTTGACTTTTATGGATGGATTCAGTTTCAAGTCTGTTGTTTTTCTAATGCTTTGTTAAAGTTACAAAAGTGGCTTTCAGGGAAAGTTTATAAACATAGGCACATTTTTCATTACAGATTATTACCAGCAGAGACAGACTTTTGTAAAATAGTGTATGATTAGATAGAAGTGATAAAATCCTGCAAGCAGGAACATTGTTGGCAGAAGTGTCCTGCAAACTTAAGAGATAAATAATACCAGAAGCAACAGCAGATCCTACCTTTTCCCTTTAGCCAAACCCTATGCACTTGTTGGTGAAGAGTTCTTTGACCAAAGCATCACTAGCTCCTCCTTCAGATCTACAGACTCCTTCCCCCTTTGTAGCATACGCTGCTTCTCCGTTGCTGCTGCAGCCCTGTAACTCTAAACCTACCCTGAAGCAACTTCTTGCTTTCGTCCTTTCTATTCTCCTTGTTTTCTTAGTTTTTCACACTATTATATCTCCCTGGAGTTTTTATATTCTGTCTTTTTAAATATTTAATAGCCCAAACACAAAGCACAAATATATTCTTAAATATAATTCTCATGAGTTTGCATTTAAAAGACCACGAGTACATGACCTCAAAACCAGATACAATGTGGTACAAGAAAACTTGCAGCATCAAAGCTATTCCAAAATATATCAAGTTATACTGAAAGCTAACATGGGCAGAGTCACAGCACAGTTTTTATATCTATACATAATAAAAAGAACTGTTATCTATATTTTCAAATAATAATGATAGGACTTTAAAAGTACATTAAAAATAAGTCTTGGTAATAATAACAAATGTACACATCAGTATTAGCTATTAACTATGCTAAGTAAAGAAGAAAACTGAATACTGAAAGTAGAGCCACTGAGAATACAGTCATAATAGTCAATTAATTCTGGAAATGATCTTGCTTCTTTTTAAAAAAAGAACTTAAAAACTTCAATTATTATCTACAGATGGGCAAGTTTAGTATTTTTGGAACAGATTACTGCTAGTCATGAAATCATTCCAGTTCCTCAGTTGTAACTCAGAGTCAGACCTACTGTGAGATCAGCTGAACAGTTACCGCAGTAACTATGATTGTATGAACATCTGAACGAAGACTGGCTTCGAGAGCTTCTAGAGCCTTCTGCAAAAGTTACATATAGCTTCCGACCATATCAACATCTCACTGAGCATTGATACTACCAAAGGTTTAGGCAAGGGGGCAAGGGCCAGCAGCTCACGATGCTCTGTTGGCATACATTGCTTTAGACGTTTGAGCCTGTGCTTTAGAACTTGTGATTTAGCGAAACAACCACTGAGGCACTACATCTGATGAACCAAACGTGATGAACAGAAACCAGATTTATAAAAAACAGACAAAAGAAGATGGATGATGTCAAATGAAAAAAGGCAGAGAGAAGAGGCAACAATTAGAAACTGGGTATTAGCAAGATTAGCATAGCTGGGAAAGCCAGACTTTGGGATGGATCCTGTCATCCCTCAGCCAGCAAACTCCTTCTGTGAAAGCCAATGGGCCTTTTGCTGCTGCAGGATCTGTCCATTAAAGCTTTGGATTGCCTCTCTTCCTTACTCTGTATAGACAGTAAAACTCTTTTGGTGCTTTGAAATTATAAGGCATTATTTTAAACTCAGCAATACTTCTTTTTGTAAGAACACCTGCTCCTAGGGCTGAGCAGAAACTTAAAGAACTAAGGCAATATTTTTCCACTTCTTTTTTCCCTTTTGAAGTTTTGTTGCACCTTTTCCCTGTCCGCTTCTTTGAACAAGGTTTCTGAACCTCTGAACACAACCTCTTTCCTAAGATGGCTAATGATACCTGACAGCAGAAGAAAAACAAAAACTACAGCAAACTTATGGAAGATTCTTATTCATATGGCCTTGAATGACACACGCAAGAAATATTAGAGTCTAAAGACAACAGTATCAAAAGTGAATACAAGGCACCTTCCATATTCACAGCTCAGCCATTTTTGGAGCTTAAAAAAACCTCCTGAAACTCAGCTGTATCTCCACATTTTTCCCCAAGCAGTTTGAATAAAAATCTGACAAGTTAATGACACAAGGCTGGAAAATACATTTTACCTCCAATAAATTAGTCAGCTATGAAATCACCCTTGTAAGATACTGGGAGAAAAAAATTAGAAACAATCTCTGCAATTTATATGCATCCTACCTTCCTTTTGCGCAGTTTCACTTGACTGTCTGAATATTCTTGTGTAGTCAAATGATTTCCTAAATGTAAACATTGAGTATCTTCTGCTGAACTGACATTCGAAAGGCATTTGTTCTCAGGGGTCACTTGAGGTTCTGTGAAACCACTTTCCTGCAGACCATTTTCCACTGACAGGATGTGAGCACAAGGAGAAGACTGCATAAGGCAGTCGCTGGATTCCACTGCTGAACATAGTTGTCTATCACTGTTGGTACACGGTGCAGAAGAAAACTCACTCTGTACCACATCACACTCAGGTTTTCCAAGCCCTTCTTTAAAAGCATCAGATTTCCGACGCTGCTGTGCGATTACAGCAGTATGAAGCAGCTGTTTCCCAGGCATAATAATTTCTTTCACATTTGAAGAATTTGAAAGATTTTCTTCCTGTACATTTATTACTTCATTTAAGCCTTCATAATTACAAAGCTCCAGGCTTTGGCCAATATTGCCACAAATGTTTTCTTCTTCCATCTCTTCTTTAGGAAGGGGGTCATAGCTAGGTTCCTTATTAATATCTCCAATTATTCCAGATGCATTGGTTTCCTTGTTACCTTCCATGATCGGTATCATCTTTGTTAAGGAGCCAGCTCCTTTTAAACTCTTTTCCTCACCTTTTTGTTCCCTTCCAACAGTAGTGATGTGGTAATTAACACTATCCAGGTTGAGTGCAGAATAATCATCATCATCATCAGAAACATGGACTAGAGTTTCTGTGCTGGCCTCCAGAAAATGTTCCTCATCTTCATGGTTATCATTTTCATCCACCTCTTTTGAAATGTTTCCAAGCTGCTTGGCAGGGAAACCAATCAGCTCTCCACTCTGACAGCAATCTGGAAATGAAGCACATTTTTCTTTCCGGTCCACACTCAAAACCTCATCTTTTTCCATACTTGTCTGCAAGTTATCAGCTACGAGTCCGTGACGACATGCTGTATTATACTCCACAGACTCCAAAGCCAATCCCATCCACTGGGTTACATGTTCTTCCCAGCTTTTCTTCCTGATTGCTAGAGACATGTCATACTAGTTCAGCAGCAGGCTGCACCATGCGTTGCACAGAGGACCAGAGGAGATGGCATAGCTGCTCTGCGCCGCTCCGCGGGGACAGAGGGTTTCATCATTTTAACATCTGCAAGAAAAAAAAAAAAAAAAAGACGACAGGCTTATTGAATCAACTCCAGCTAAAGAAAAAAGGGAAGGAGCAGTTTAAACAAAAGTGTAAAAGCAAGATAAGAGTGTGGGACCAGAAGGACAGGAATTTAGAAGACTGTTTTGTTTAAATTTTTAATACTTTTCATACAGAACTTGACAGCACTCATAATTCAGTGTAACTTTTTTTCTGATTACTCTCCAGTATCAAGTAAACAAAAATGTTATAAACAGGCACATGGACAGGCAAGTACCTCCAGAGCCAAATTTTGACAATGAGTCTCTCTTCACTATGTCTGTCATAAGATAACCATTTCCATGGATATAAATTGTACTAAGTCTTATGATTTCTTTGCACATAAAGTTATTTCGCATTTCTTCTTCATACAGAGATATCCGTGGAGTACAGAATTTTGGCTACTTCCCAAAGAAGTAGAGCAGAACTTGAGAGTTACTCAGTAATAAACCACTTTATGACTAGCTTTGGCCCAGCCTTTCGGCCATTCAGTGGCTCTCATTTTTATTGTTACTGTTTCACTCTGCTTAGGACAAGCTATAGTAACAACTATTACATGAAACTTCTGGGGGACTCACTGTTCTGGGTGTAAAAACGTGACTCTAGGAAAACTAATTTAAGCTTCTGGCCTATTTCCTTACCTCAAATACGTTATAAAACCTGAATAAAACCTTGGGAAAAATTTTCGGGATGAAGCCCAGATCTACTAATGTAAGGAAGAGATGAAACCCCTATTTAGGAGATGGCTATCTGAAATGGTTCCCTGGAGGCCGGTACCGTCAGCCACAAGTGCACAGCTTACCGGGGCTCTCTGGGGCCTGTTGTATCCCACCCTCCCCACTGAATTCCATAGGGTACTTACACAGGTACATATTTTTCAATGACTCTTTTATCAGGCCTTGTGGATAATAACATGTGAGATACAGTAATCTTTTTACATTTCACGTATGAATGAGCACAAATAAAAAACATCATATTAACTTACACGTTATAATACCGTATCAACAGATTCTTTGTCAAATAACAAAAAACTTCTGGCCCGTAAAACACTAGAGGTTCAAGAAGCAGACACTTCTACTTTTCACTCCCTACGTAAGAACTGTCATCACTTACCATGGATCTGCTTATTGATTTCAGCAATAAAGAAGATTAAGTACTAAGTTTGTTCTGGGTCATTTCAGTCCACTAAGGCAAATTCTGATTGCCCACCAGGCCACAAAGCTGCCCTGACAAATCACATGCCTGAAGGTATAAAAGTATTCGTCGTGAAAGAAATGCAGAATTACGTCTGTGCAACTGAGCCCCTGTAAATTATGTCTTGACAAAGTGACTTTTAGAATAGAGTTGTACACACTCCTAGATCTTTAACCTTCTTTGAGGATGGCAAGCTTCATTTCACATTCACATTTTCCACCTCTGTGGAGACTCTGCTTAAAAAGAAAATATATTCATAGGGTAAGAGAATTCCATGCACAAGTCATTAGAGTGTGGGAGGCTGAGGAAAATGGAAAATAACACACTGAGCCAGGCCAAAAAAAAAAAAAACCTGCTTGCAGAGGCAAAGTTTGGTAGTAAGAAGTTGGTTCAACTTTAAGATTCTCTTTTCTTTCCTGGTTGAATACGAGAGCAAGCTTAAATTTTAAAATGCAGAGTCCAAGGGCTGCATAAATCTGCAGTGCATTTGTATTCTTATTCTGCTTTCATTTCATATTAATATTCTCCTACTATTTCTAAGAGTGCATTGTCCAAAAATTATCACAGGGTGCAAATAAATAATGATAATACTTTTAACTTTTGTGGCACCTTCCACCAAGGGACCCTTAAGCTCTTCAGAAGCAGTTAGATTAGTTTTACAACACCACTGCATTTTGTTTTGATCTCTGAAAGCAGACAGGTTTACTTAAAGGGGCTCAATGGCTTCTGCTGCCCTCCATTAGTACTGCTTGGAGTTGCACATGGGTGCATCTCATTTGCAGCTTCCTTCTCTCTTCCCTATTAGAACAGCAGCTGCATCTAAGTAACAAAAAAAAAAAAAAAGTTCCTGCAGTCATGCAGCGGAGTTTTTGGCAAAAATCGAGAGACCAGAAATAGTAAGCATAAAGGACAAAATCGCAACTTCCAGATGACATTCATACATCTATCCACCTAAAATTTAGGTTGATTCATGATCTGCAATATGCAGGCATTCGAAGAGTTAATGGGTGTGTGTTAATCTTGCTGCTGTTAAATGGAGTTACATATGTGCAGAGAGGGGAGAACAGATCCCTTACTGTTTTTCATTTTTGGATGTGGAGAGTTATATTTCATGGGGGATGAAAAACAAATAAATTTTACTTTAGGAACCCTTCTGTTTTACTTGTGCTATCACTAGTTTTGGCTGCCTCATGGACTGCAGAAAAAATGATTAAACAGGAGAATATCAAATACTTTGCTTGAAATGCAAGACAAATAAATATATGACAAGGGCACTTTCATTGTTCTTTAAAATATGAGCTTACATTAGCACTGGGTATGAAAAGTTTACCCTACAGATGTCTGCTAGCCAGACAGCTTCAGCTACCAATCAATGAAATCCTCTCATTCCCTTGGCTCACAGAGGAGCCCCTCGTTTGGTGGAAGCTTACTTTTCTTCCTCTTTCCTTCCTCCTCCTGCAAAGTCTGCCCTCTCTACTGTATTTCAGCTTAGAAATTCTGCTCTCTCTGTATTTACCTGATAGTTATAGGCCAGGAAGCGACTTTTCTCTCTTTTCTGCTTCCATATGCAGGACACCCTATTTCCTTTACCTTTGGATGAGATTCATAACCTTATTTCTCTCCCTGTTAGCCACTTCGCCGAAGAAAGGCTTACCGCTCTAATCAGCTGCTCTTCTGCTATTGCTGCCTACTTTTTTCTTGACATGCAGCATCTTGTGTCCTCTGAGAAATGCCTCTCTCAAGTCCCTTTGTACTCTTCACCAAGCAAAGAAGCCATCCCCTTTCTCTCTTTCTGTGCATTACCATCCCACAACTAGAAACCTTTCTGTAAGATTTTTCCATATTTTTAAAACAAGAGAATGAACTCTTCACAGTTTGGTTCGCTTAATTTCTTTAGCCAGAATTAGTTCTGAACTCATCTGCAGTCACTGAGCAACTTCATGGCCCTCCAGATCTGGAGACCGACAAATAAGACTGAATATAGATTTTCTTGTTCTAACAAGAGTCAATGTTTGTCAGTTTTCAAAAAGATCTGAAAGATAAAAAGAACATCAATAGGGAAACCAATAAAAGAGACTGGGCTGTTTTTTCATTTTGATAGAATTTTTTCTTTACGTATACATTAAATGTCTGCTTCTGTTGAAGGATTTTGCAAGAACTGAACATTTTCAGCAGAACTATTTTTGGCTTTTGACATCTTGCACTAAAAATGTCATTTTATTAAATTCTAGAATTACAAAGTGTTTCTAACTTTGGGTAAAAAGCATAGATTTTCTGATAAAAGTATTTATGAAACTTGAAGTCTCTCTTTGTTGAAATGCTGTGCACAGTGAAAAGACCTTTTCTTTTAGACAAAGCATCTATCAATGCAATGCAGTCAGTTCAGCTTCTGCCATAATTCAGATACATATTTTGCTTATACTTTGCAGTAGCACTAAGTTTGATACTACTAACTTTCTGAAGAATAAAGTTTGAAACAAAATAAAAATGATAAAAGACTATTCCGGGAAAAATTTCTTCACTCTGCATGTGGTTTGAGGAAGATTTGTAATATTGACCCAGTAGGCAACTCTGGACCAAAGAAAATGGAAACGAACAGTAGGTTATCACATTGCAGCAGAATCCCCTTCAAGCATCCTTTTTGATGTTCTGCAGTGTTTACACAGCAAGGTGTTGTTTTGCAGTATTTATGGACTGCGGTGTTATTTGAGATAGATTTTGGAATTTGTACTAATTTAATGCCCATCTCTTTTCACTGTAAAATACAATCAAAATGAAAAAAGGCATAAGCTTTTGTGCTTTTTTTATAAGTTCTATAAAAGTCTCACAGAACAGATAGTTACTTTGCAGCAGATAAAGCATAGAGTGAAGATCTGTATAAGATGAACTGGTAGGCTATCCTACAATTGGGTTTTCCAATATTTTCCCTTATAAACGATTCCTGTGTTTTCTTCCGAGCAGCTCAAACTTTTAAATTGTTCCTAGCAGCCTCTGAAATTCAGAGAGAGAAGCAGCCTTCCTCATAATCATAATATTCCATGCAGGTTTGGCTGAGGTGCACGTTTTTCGAAATACTTTTTCCCTCCTCTTGCTCCCCTTCTCAAAAAAACATGGCACCCTACAAAAAGTATCTTTAACAGCTAGAGAAGAAATGGAAAGGGGAAGGAAGGAAATTTATTCTAAATCTTTAAATCTGTGACCAGCCAGCCCTGAGATCTAGCTCCCCTTCGAGGGTATTAAAAGGGACAAGGAAACCGTCCTGTTATGAGCTGGGGGACACAGGGGAACAACCGAAGCCCATCTCTGTCGAGGTTTTCCACGGTCGAGGAAGGTGAAAGGGGGAAATGCAGAGCCCCTCGGCAGCGGCCACCCCGCGAGACCTGGCAGCGCACCCCGCGTTGCCGATGTGACGGGAGGGCTGGGGCAAGAGCACGGCACAAAACATCGCTGCCATCCCCCCGCGGCGCTGACCCCGGCACCACGTCCCCTCTCCCTCCGCCACGTTCAGCAACGCTGGCAGTTCACTGCGCCACGCGTGGCCACGTTACACTGAATCAAGAGATTCTGGAAGGCAGAAAGTCACAAAAAACATGAGAGCGTTTACTAAGCGTAAAAGAGAGGAGAGTTTCCGATAAAGCGGCCCAGGCACCACAGCCCCTACTACACTGACAGAGGAATTCAGCTTTTGCAAATGCTTTAAATGAGAGGCAAACCTTTTCTGCAAAAGAACAAGGCCAAGTGTTACCTTATAAACAAACGCGCGTAGAGAT